TGCGTCCCTGTGAAAGAGATCTGGATAGCCACTGGAGACTGACCTTTGTATTTTTGGTGTCTGGTAAATGTTGAATGAAGGAATGACTGTGGATGTGGTCTGTAAATGTTGGGTGTCGTAATTCAGGGGTACCCGGAGAGCTGGCCAGTTCCCCAAAGCAGATCCTGGTTTAGGGAAGGATGGTGGAGAGTATCAGTCTGGGTAACTGAGAAGAGCCATGAGCAAGGAGATACAGAACTGACTTATTTAGAAAGTAGTTCTGAGAATTTTAGTAAAACAGATCTCAAATTTGCTGTTAATGAGTTTTCATTCGACTTACTAAAAACTGAGGAAAGAAGACATTTCTAGGGCTGCTTCAGGCTGATTTCTTCACATGGCAGGGATCGTTCCAGCCATCTGGAGTGATGGTCCAAGATCCCTGCTTTGTGGGAGAGACCGGTAACAGGACGCAGCAGGTCAGGGTGGGCCACCATCTCTGCAAACTGCAGTTTGTCTTTCAGCGTCTTACTCTCGGATGGAAAAGAAGATGGAGAGGCGGGCTTGTTTTCTAGAATAACTTCCCCTGTGCCTCAGTCGGCTTAGACTGCTGTAACGAAACACCGCAAACTGGGTGGCTGGAGAGGTGAAACATCATTGCTCGCAGTTCCGACGCTGCATGTGTGCAGCTGTGCCCCGAGGAGGGCCCTCTCCTGGGCTGCAGGTTTCTCCTTGTGCCTTCACACAGCAGGTCTCTCTGGAGCCTCTTTATAGAGCATGAATGCCATTCATGAGGGTTCCATCATCATGACTTAAGCATCTCCCAAAGGGCCCACCTACTAATACCATCACCTTTGGGGTTAGCATTGCAACATACGACTATTAGGAGGAGACAGAAGTCCAGAGGTAGCACCTGATCAGAAGTGTGGCTGTGCTGTTGGAAGCCACTAGAAAGAATAAGCACTGGCCCCCGGGACTTCCTCACCCAGCTCTAACCAGCTCACATGCCACACGTGACAGTAGGGGGTGTGGAAACGCCACTAAACACACTTCCAGCTGTGTTGTATACTGTTCCTTCGATTCTAAGAAATAGTAGCACCTCAAGAATTTGAGGGAGCTTTATAGCTTTCTTGCGTGGTTTACTGCCAACTAACGCCCTTGGCACAGCCCTTCACTTTAACTGCAACACGGCGTATCTGTCCTTTGTGATTTTTCTTGATATTATCATCACTGGAGCATTTGTCAAATTAATTTGTTTTGAGGAGTGGTCATATTTTGCTTAATAATGTACAAAAATAGCTTCACAGATACAGTGTAATTTATTTTTTAAGGTAGGCAGCTTTGAAGATGCACGAAAATAACTTGTACATTAGGCACTCGAATTAGTTTCTTTTAAATAGATTTAATTTTTTTATATATGTATTTTTTGTGGGGGGGGTAGGTTAGGTAGGTTTATTTCACATGCTTTACCACTTGAGCTGTCCCCTCCCCCACCTCCAGTTAGTACTTTGTTACATTTACTTCAGTAGAGAATGCTTATTAGACAAAAGGAGGCAAAGTAGAGAGTTAAAGCAGTACTAACTGCATTCTTCACAGGAAGAGGCAGAAGCACTCGACGTGGCCGTGAGGTACAGGGCAGCGGCTACGGGTGCGAGTGAGGGGACCAGAGTACCTTTTACATCTTATCTTTGATGAAAAGCGACTGCATTACACTAATGGAAGAGAGCATCACAGTTAAATCATCAGCGACTGACACAACCTTGGGAGAGATGCTCAGAGCGGGCTTGGCGAGGGCGGCGTGGGTGCCCAGAAGTTTGCCGAGCAGTGCATTGCCGCCATTGCGTGAGAGGTGGCGAGGGTCTGGATTAAGGGAGTTGCAGCAGGACCACAGAGAGCGTTCAGACAGAAGTGTTCTGGGAGAGAGTTTAACTTGGGTATTTTGGAATGAAAGCCTTGCCAACTGTGATGTGTTTGATCAGTGCATCATTATATTTTTGACCCAACTCTTTGCTATTTTGGGGGTTGGAATTAAGTGAAAGAAATACAGAATCTGTGCCACCTCCAGGTTGGAGGAGCCGTTTACTTACAGATAGAACTTTGGAGTAGGTGGGTCGGAAAACTTGACTGTGGTTCAGAAGTTCATCACCCATCTTCCCCTTTAGCAAAAATTGTCTTACTCCTTTCTTAGGGTCATTTCCATCATCATCAAGCCTCTCAAACAATTTGACATCCTTATATGCAGAAATCCAATCAGTTAATTGATTGGATTGGAATCAACAATCCAATTTGGAAAAAACAAAGTTACCC